TATTTGACAAAATAAGAACCTGCTTTGAMGTTTTAGCCTAAAACAGGTTCTTATCTAAAGGAGGCCTAAAGGGAAATTTTTTTACCTTAGAGGTTTTTAAAATCTAGTTTCTCATACGCCGGTTTTTACTGTAATTCATCTACTGGAAATATGAAATTTAGGATTGAATAGGACGGCAACAGTCATTTGTAAAAAACATCACCTACATTTTTGCAATGATGAGAAACGTTTTCCCCCTGAAATTAAAGCGACATTTACCTTTTTTCTTTTCTTTTCTCTTGCTCGACATAGTGGCATTTTTCACCATCAGTCCAATGGTTACCACAAATAAGAAAATACGTGTTGCCTTCATCGTTTGAATGGACCTTAAGTTTACCTATGACCAGTCAAAAAACCGACACCTTGGGTTTCTAATATTCACCTAAAATTGTAAAAACTTTGTTGTGCGTGATCAAGTTATCAAAAATCAAATCAATTTATTAATTCAAAAAAACAAAAAACAAAAAAACAAACAAACAAAAAAAAAACCACAAAAAACAAAACAACAAAACAAAACAAAAAAACAAAAAAACCCAAAAAACATCCATCATTTGAATCACAGCGCCAAAGAGATAAGAGATTATAAACCCTATCCAGAATGTCTCCTAATATCGAATTGGAAGTAATATCGTTTTGCCGTTAGTTATTTCAATATTGCAGATTTTTATTTTTTTCCTTACACTTTTGGTATTCCACTCATTTCAATAAAAAATATTTCAATGAGTTATTAAAAATGTCAAAATGTCATTGCATCAATCCATTCATTGCTTCCTTTTCACCTTTGTAATCAAAAATTGTTTACATCAAATTAGTAATCACAATTATGCAAAGAAGAAAATAAAAAAGTGAAGGAAAGGCTGCAGAACTAAACKATTACCTCTATCGAGCTCTTAAAAATGACCTCTACCCTGTTGAAACCGTATTGCCGTGATGAATGGAGAGAATATAATGGAAAATCAATAGCAGTCGAACTTCGTTAAATAGTAAATTATTAATAAAGAATTTGGAATTTAATTGTAGGTACTAATTATAGAGGCCATGTTTTCTAAGTGAACAACCAGAGAGCAACTGGTGACAACGATAGAGCAAGTAGAAAATATTTGACGCGAAAAAAA